TAACCGACGTTCCATATATATGGTGGTTGTTACACAAAATAAAATTGTAATTTAAATTAGCAATTTCAAGGTGTCACTCAATAATTCAGTGCGAAATATGCCAAGGGAATACAAAATCACCAATGTATTTAATTAAATGGTAAGATTTTATCCATATATATACGTCATTTAGATCATCGGTCAAGCTATTAATACATAAACTCATAATAATGCATGACTCATGCATGTCTACACAAGCAATCCCTCTTTTGGCAACCCAGGATGATTACGAATAATCCATGTCATACCATATCTAACTATCCCACCTAACAATTAGTTTTTTAGGTCATTAGCTCAAAATATAGGTGCATTTCGACTTATTTTTAGACATTTTTTTCTTATCAAAGGATATAAGAAAATGAGAAAAATTTACGTCAAAACTTCAGATACAAAAGAGTGAATGGTCTTAATCAAATAAAGTTATCGAGCTAGCTAAAATCCCTTGCATTTTATCGAATACGTAAACCCAATCAATGTAGTACTATTAATGCTCAAATATTTGATCCGATATTTATTTTTATTTTTATTTTTATCATTAATTCAAAGAAAAACTAATGAAAATGACTTCAAAACTTTGAGTTTTAATGATAAGGACAAAATAAAGGGTAAAGTGAATAGTACCATAATTGACTTTTTGGTTTAAAAATTTGAATTTTTGTTAAAGTGAACAGTACGATGAGCTTTTCGTTAAACTTCTCTTAATTCAATGTTTTTACACTATGATCGTTTATTATGACTTTGGTAAATGACAAGTTGGTATATTAGTCTCAAGTATATGTACGGTACTATTTATTTGAATTTGTAAGAATTATACCCCTTATGTAACATATGTGTTATTTTCTATTACTAATATAATTTAAAATTACATGGGACATTAATTTTGACATCCAACAATGTTTTAACCAGGACGTCTCAGATTCGAGGTTCTAAGCTGGTGAGTCTGCTTGACTGTGGTCAGGGGGAAGCTGAAATGCTCCTATGAGTCTATTCGGTTCTCGATCTCAGTCCCCCTTTTTAATAAGGAAAAAAAATTAGGATACTTTAGATGCGGTACCTAATTCTTAACATTATTTGACTAAAACCTTAATGGTATTCAAAGTTCGATCAAAGTCCCTTGACTTTGTACACCTCATTATATTACTATTAATATTTATATTTTTATAGTTTTGACATTAATTGTTTGATATTTTATGTGATTTATAATCCTATAAATTTAAAATCCCATATTATAATACTATTAGAAATGGTTACAATAAAAGAATTCAAACATTTTGATTGAATAAATGAATAAAAACTATGTAAAAATAAGAAATAATAAATGGCAAAAGAATGTATCCACAGTGTTAAAAAAAATGGTACATTTCACGTACGTACATTAATAAAGAAGAATGGGTACATTATAAATAAATTAGGGTACATATAAAAGATTAAAAAATTATGAGTACAAATGAATTTTAAAAAAAAGGTATAGGCCCTAAAAGAAATTAATACATGGGTACAAAATAAAACTCTAAAAAAAATACTACAAATTTAAAAAAAATGTTACAAATTAAAAGTGGGTACAAACTAAAAATATAAATATATGATACAAAGTTTAGGCATAAAACATCATAAGTAATTTTTTCTATCATTGATTAAATATACAATGTCACGTGACAGTATACACATGGGTACAAACACAAATAAAACTTTAAAAAATATGGGCACAAAAAGAAACTAATATATGGGTACAAATTAAAAAAGAAAAGAAAATTGGTACAAATTAAAAAATATTTGCAAATTAAAAATAGGTACAAACTAAAAATAAAAATATATGATAAAAAATTTAGCCATAAATATAAATATACTAATTGTAATATTTTTAACACTAAAGGAATATATTTAAAAATAAAAATATTTTATTATTCAAATAATTAATGATGTTATTAAATATAGAGTAACGAATATGATTTTAATTTGATCAAAAATTTAAAATGAATATGATTTTAATCAATAGAGTAACGAAAAGAAGTATGTGAACCTAATTTCTCCAAAAAAATATTATAACACTTAAAATAATAATATTATTTGACGATGGTATTCCTAACAACACACAAAATTCCACGTCAAGGATCACAAAGTTGATAGCGAAATTTTTTAATTGGAGTGGAGTTATAAAACTATTGATCATCAAATTAAATACCCACTTCCTTCTCCTTCACCATGAGATTTGATCTGAACCATTCATTTGAACCACAAGACATCTATAAATAGACTCCTTTTATTTATTAGAAGAACATGTACGTTTAACTAGAGAAAGCTTGAGTGAAGTATTTTGAAGCAATTTCTTTTGCAACTTTGCTGAGACATTGTTGCGGTAAGAAACACATTAATTTTCTAGCTTCATTTCTTTAATTTCTAATTGAAGTAAGAGCTTTAGAGGGTTTGTGATTCAATTTAAATATAGTGGTCATATTTCATGTATCACAACAAAAGTGATCTATGTTAGACTATGTATACTGCGTTATACGTACTTTAATTTTTTCGACTTCTAAGTTTTATATCTAACTCTACTATGTGTCTACAGGTGACCTTAATCTGCAGAATGGCTTGTGGAGCATTACTATTTGTTGCTTTGTTAAGTTTGATTGTTGGGAGCTGGTGCCTCCCAGAAAATGCAGAACTTAAAGATTTCGGTACTAATAAGGATAATGGCCCTCCAAGTAACACTGAGAAAAAGGGAAATAGATGGGCAGTTCTAGTTGCTGGGTCAAATGAATACTACAACTATAGACACCAGGTTTAAGTTTGTCCAAATTTCATTATATAGTATCAAGTAATATTATTTTGGTTATGTTATTAATTATACAATTTATTAATTTTTTTATGCAGGCTGATATATCCCATGCATACCAGATACTGAAGAAAGGCGGACTGAAAGATGAGAACATCATTGTTTTTATGTACGATGATATTGCATACAACCCGGAAAATCCTAGACAAGGTGTCATCGTCAACAAACCAAATGGCCCTAATGTTTATAAAGGAGTTCCCAAGGTTTAACTTTTTAGCATATATTGATTTAGTTTCTAGCTAGTAATTTGGTAGTTTAACATTGTTAAAACCATGTATATTTTTTTAATGCAGGATTATACAGGAACTGATGTTAATTCAAACAATTTCTATAATGTTATTCTTGGAAACAAAAGTGCTCTCACTGGAGGGAGTGGCAAGGTTCTGCTTAGCGGTCCAAATGACCATGTTTTCATATATTATGCAGACCATGGTTCTGCAGGATTACTTGGTACAATGAAGGAAGAAATTTTTAAAATTTTAGTTTTCTATGAAATTAAATAAATACTGCATAGTTAACTGACATATGAATCTGTATTAATGTATTCAGCTATGCCTACTGATGGCGATTATGTTTACGCTAAAGATCTCATACGTGTCCTGAAGAAGAAGCATGCTTCTAGAGGTTTCAAAAGCATGGTATGAATTTCTACTTATATGAAGAAAAAGAAAATAGAATCGAGCGTCATTAAATTTTGAATTAATTTTTGGTGGATTTCAGTACCTTCTAAGGCTTTGATGCATTTATATGAAAAAAAAAAATAGGTACTTTACGTTGAAGCTTGCGAGTCTGGGAGCATGTTTGATGGTATCCTTCCGAGAAATCTAAATATTTATGCTACTACCTCGGCAAATCCAGAAGAGAGCAGTTATGGAACATATTGTCCTGGTGAAGATCCTCCTGTTGCTCAAGAGTATGGTACTTGTTTGGGAGACTTGTATAGTATTTCCTGGATGGAGGATTGGTAATGCAATGCTTTCCATTTTGAGATTATTCTGTTCTAAAGAGTACATTACTTTCCAAGTTTCCAATATACTTTCGATCAAAGGCTCGTACTAACATTCTTTTGTTTTGGTGGCTATTGCAACATATTTTCACATTTGAGAGCAGTGACATAAGTGATTCGCGCAAAGAAACTTTGCAGCAGCAGTATGAAAGGGTAACATGCATATTGAATTTTATATCGTTATGCGTAATAATATTAGCAAACATAAGAATTGTATATATGACCATGTCGGCTAAATTACAGGTTCGAAGAAGAACAAATAAATCTCATGTTATGCAGTATGGAGATATGAGTCGCAGACAGCAGTTCCTTGTCACTTACATGGGTGGATATCTTTCTAAACATAGTACTTCCACCAGCGATATCTCTTCACCCTTAATCTCAAGGGTTGTTAACCAACGCGACACTAAGCTCCACTATTTTCAGCACAAGGTTTCTGCTCTAAACTTGGATGTTTCTAATGAAATATATACACTAATTTTAGTTTTTGCAACATAACAATGCCAAACTTTTCGGCTAGAGAAAATTTTCATATAATTTGATAATGCAGCTCTGCATTCAAAATGTTTTTCTTATGATTATAAGTTTTTCAGTTGCGTAGAGCTCCGACTGGCTCTCAGGAGGAATCGGAAGCTCGAAAGCAGCTACTCGATGAAATTGCTCATCGGAAACATGTGGACGATAGCATACATAAAATAGGGGAGCTTTTGTTTGGACACCGGGAGAGCTCAAACATGTTGATGAAGGGTAGGCCTCGAGGGCAACCTCTAGTAGATAACTGGGACTGCTTCAAGAAGCTTGTAAGTCCTCGATCTTTTAACTGTTTAAAGTACACCCGGTATACCTTTTTCTCCGAGATTTTGATATCAATCGGGTTCTTTCCATGCAGTTGAAGATTTACGAGAAGTATTGTGGACATTTTTCTGCATACGGAATGAAACACACGCGAGCTATAGCCAACATGTGCAACGCTGGGATCACAGCAGAGAAAATGGTTGTGGCGTCTGATCAGACTTGTTCCAAAAAACCCCATGTTTAGAGCTTCCTTTCTGATAATCAGATGAATTAATAAAAGGAAACTGGAAAAGAGTGGAGGATCACTACTAATTACTAAAAAAAAAATTAATGAAAAGGGAGTTTACTATACATTGAACATTACAATAAAATGTTACAAAACTGTGACAATTTGTGGTTTATTGTTTACAAACTAAGAACAGATCATCCTCGCTAATCAGAGTTAAGGTCAGTTGGTCAAGACTGTGCCGACCTGCTTGCGCTCAAGTTTGAGTCCTTGTTCCTGTAGATTAGAGTATAGCTTTGTCAAAACAGAAGATAGGCTCCTCTCACTGCATTATTGTCTAGCCAACATATCTCGTAAGCTACCAACACCCATATACACTTCAGCAAATTCTTCATCGTTTCTAGCCAACATATCTCGTAAGCTAAACTCGATATTTCTCCCCTTTAGCACCCAGTATCTAGGTTTTATCCTCTTTTCCAATGAATAACTGAAGTCCTTGGATACTCCACCAAATCCGTCACTGGTTTCTCCATTGTGTTCACGAGGAATTCAAGCTTCGGACTCAAAACATCTTCAATGCTATACCCGAGTAAAGGAGAAAATTTGCGGACCATGAATGCAATACCCCTCCACGACAGCCCTTTCTTCATTAAATATTTCATCCTGCCCACCAAATTCTCCACATCAGTCCATGATACAACAGATTAATTCACATTTCACCAAGAACTGGAGAATTCTAAATTTTTTGAGCCGCAAATTTTAAATGAAATTAAAGAGCATTACCGAGGAAGTAAAGTTCTATCAGTGTCAGAGACGAGAAGCTCTGGATACTTTTTGATAACCTGAGGAAGGTGGGGTTCGGAAACACCAATGCTAGCAAGAAATTCCAGCTTCACCTTGAGAGTTTTGCCAATGCTGGCAGCAAATATTTTGGGACAACGCCCCATTATGCTCCCAACTATTTCTTTATCAAATTCTAGACCTTCCACGAATGAAACTACCTGTATATAGCAGGAATACCAGTTAAAACTTAACTCCAAAAAATGTGGCACCTATGTACATTGCAGTCTCGTTCTCATAGACCCCAGGATCCAAGGAGATTGTGGTCACCCATCGTTTAATCTTAATCGAACAGTTGGTGGTCATCAACATTTGTTCTTGTACTTTCTCCTCTCCACTATTGGATTAAGAAAGAACAGTAGGTAACCACAATTTCCTTGGACCATGGGGTCTAGGATAATAGGACTCATATACATGGTTCCCAAATCCTTCACAGAGAGACTGATAAAATGTATCCAAATGCTGCGTGTTGGATGAGATTTTCACTCTCTAAGGTGGGACCAACTTGAAAAGATGGGTGATTGGACTAGGTTTCATGACGACACGTAAACGGTACACTACAAGCCGAACCTGCACAGTTTCCTTTCTTGGCCGTGTTCCCCATTCATCACCATAGTTGGGGCAACTTTACAATGACAGTAAGCGACAAGTCATATGATATGAGATTTGGTCATGGGGGATTTCAGGGTATTTAAAGTATGTATCGGTTTTAAGTTCACTGAAGTATCTTGTTCAAAAATAAAATTAAACAAAGTTGTACAATGTGTCACAGGGATTGCATATTGTGGACACTACTGCAGTCTACCATAAAATTTGCAAACTCAGCACACACAAAAGGCATCTTAACGGTTTCAAATGCAATAAATTCTTTTTAAAATTTTGCATCACTTCAACTTATTCTTTTTATGGCCATTTCAAATTCAATAATATTAGCTATAAGGCATGAAACCGAAAGACTAGAGTATATGGCACTGTATTACCAAACAAATTCCTTTGGTATCTCATCTTCAACATAAAACGGAAATTCATGAAACAGCCACACAAGTATTTTCTACACGAAAGATTTAAACAGGAAGATGACATGAGGTAATATTCATGAATACAAGGAACAAACATATTTGTGAAAATATCAATAACCTACCTGAAGAAATTCTTGAGGTTCCGTGTCAATATCTAAGGACTTCTACAGATAACCTGACCCAACTTCTTGTTTCTAATACCCAATTCACCAATTTCTTCGACCATCAATTTTAGCATGCTGGTTGAGCAACCCAAAATATGAGGCCAGCTTCTGATTGCACGGCCAACACTCAATTTTGGTACCTGTTATGAAACATAAGTTCACATTTAGCATTTAGCTCAAAATAATCAACCAACATTTGTTTTGGAGAATTTGGAGTCCTATAAGTTACATAATGTTTCTGTGCATAAACTAAAATGAAGAGAAAGCAGAGCTGAAGTTGGCAGTACCTCTTTAAAAGCAAGCACTCTCGTTTTGATGACTTTAATGTTGCAAAAAATAACAGGTGGAAATAACAGAAATATGTTTCTCATTACTTCTCTAGGGACTCCAATATTTTCAAGATATTCCACAATAGGTCTCACTTGAGGATCCAAGGACAGCAAAAGAAGACGTGGAAAGGTTCACCGAAAAAAAAAAGAAAAAAAAAGAAGACGTGGAAAGGATTCAATTAAGCAACGGACAGCAGCATCTCCAGAGCCCAACATATCCAGACCTCTACACCTTGCTACAATCTGTAGCATGAAATGAAAAACCAACTAAAAATAAGATAAAGTGATCCAGACACACATGATGCACGTGAAAATGAATCTCTAAATAGCAAAGAAAAGAAATAAGAATCACTTGCATATAGACATTCATGCACTATAAAGATTTGAAAGAGACATACCAGACCTTTTAAAAAAAAGGATAGGGTTTGTTGCAAGTCATCATCAATAGGAATTGATAAGTGCATCATCATACGACGAGCATTTTTCCCAGTGAACCCACCATCACTACTGTCAGAAAAGAATATTTTCTTCACATAGTTTAACCTATAAGCAAATGTAAAATAAGAAACCATTCTGCCACAGATCTAAAAAATAATTTCACTTGTGGATTCATATGTTGAGAATCAATACCAAATTCCTGCTCTTTATCCATTTCATAAGGTTTCCAATTTTATAAGGTATATTGGTCCTAATTCAACTTGATTCCCAAATTTACAAACTCGAATGTAATTTCAATGATTTTCATGTGGCTTTGCCTGAAACTAATCAGGCTGCACATTCCCAAAGCTTGTAATATCATCTAATGTACCATTTCTCTCATGCTTCCCAGTGAGCACTATTTTACTACCTTAGAACATAATCAAGAAAGCACAATTATGTTAATAGTGCAGAACCTCATACAACCTTGAACGAATTTGCTTCACATTGTATGTCATATCAAAACCCCTTCTCAGGGAGCACATAGATTATTGTCTAGCACAGAATACATAATAGCGTAGTACATGATTAGAAATATTGATTTTTGATAAATAAAGATGTCATAGATAAGCCATAAAAAAATGATGAACATGTCATCACTTCTTAGTTCCTACAATAAGAATGTCATCACTTCCTACCCTATACAGTTTCTGACAAATAGTTCTAATGCCAATTGCTAGTTCACAATAACCAAAATCTCGATTACTAAAAAAAAACCAATAGATTGTCAACGAAACAAATAATAACGAACCAGAATGCCCTTACCTTCTCAATGAGCCGAGCCCCGGAAGCGTCTCTGCAGATAAATGCCTGGCAACATTCATAGCCGAAGACAGATTCAACCCGACCACACCCTCCAAAAACGCAACCTTTCCATTGTCACCTTTCTCTATAGCCAAATACCTCACCTTCCCTTTGAACGCCCCCAATTCTCTCCCCTCCTTCTCCCACTCTCCCCACATCCCCAGCTCATCCAACTCCACAACCCCATCCATCAACCAACATCCGGAAATACCTCGGCGAATTCGATGAAACAAAGGCGGCTTCCGCCTCAGAAGCCCTAAATTCTTGAAGAAGCTCCAAAAGGGCTTCTTGGGCAGTTTTTATTTGCTCCGGTTGGTGGTCCGGCGGCAGCACAGAGCTGTTGGGCGGCGCGGAAAACAGGGGGCAGTGGAAATTTTGGTGGGTTTTGGAGGGTTTCTGGAAAAATTGGATCTTGGGTTTGTCGGTGAGGTGGAGTCTGAGAGTAAGAGTGGGGTTTGAGGGGTTGGGGAGATGGGGTGATAGGTTTGTGGGGGTGTTCGGTGACGAGGATAGTCTGAAAGTTATGGGGAAGTTTGTGGGGATTGAGGGGAATTTGGAGGAGGAGGAGGACATGGTTGGAGGAATTAAGCATCCATACATGGAAAGAAAGTCTTTTTCTTTCTTAAACCCTAAAACCCTGGAACTGTCAAGAGAAAGCCCTCATCTTTTTCTTTTGGATTGAGCTTAAAAGGAACTTTGACGGGACACGATGGTGGAATGAGACGAAGTTTGGAAAATCCAAATATAAGGGGTAAATCATTTACCTGTGTAATTGTAACCTCATAAAATGTCTTAAAAATATCTCAATATTATACACAAACTTGTATTTTAATTGCAATTTCATATATCTGTTAGTTAAACTGCCACTTTGACGTTAAGTGATGTGTGATAATTGCAAGTTCCACTGTTTTGTTGAAGTAGCATAAATAATAGAGAAATACCCAAAAATATGATATTTTCTTAATCTTAATAGGATTTTTTGAATATGCACACAGCATGCACATGTCATGCACAACAATCAGACATAAATATGATTTTTTGAATATGCACATGACATGCACAACAATCGGACATAAATATGATTTTTCATACACCTTAAAATGTCCAAATTGCCCTCCTATATAAATGAGTTATTTCCTTCTATTTTCTGATGTATCTCTCTCTACTCTCTCTCCCTCCCTCTCTTTCTCCATAATTGATATTTATTGGATGTTCTTAGATTAGTGAAAGATAATGGAAAACCCAATTGGAAGATTTGATTTATTTGAAGATTGTTTGTGTTTGTTGATTGACCATTTTGGGAAATAAACACATTTATGTGCATGCAGTTGCAGATTGGGGATTTCTTCCTCAAATCATCATCTTCTTCCTCAAATTTGAAAACCTAGTTGGAAGATTTGATTTATTTGGAGATTGTTTGTATTTGCTGATTGGCCTTTTTGGAAAATGAACACATTTATGTGCTTGTAGTTGCAGATTGAGATTTCTTCCTCAAATCATCATCTTCTTCCCCAAATTTGAAATCTCATTCAAAACCCATCTAGGTCAAAACAAATCTACAATCCAAAAAAAATTCAGATGTTGAAGAAGAAAAACTAAAGACACCATTTTTTCTTCTTCAATCTCTTTTTCTCCTTCGCCGATGAACGTCTTCTCCCTCTAAATTAGAAGAAAATCCAAAATTTGTTATCTGTATCAATACGTGCAACGACGTTAGTTTTGTTGTGGACGTGCATCGTGCAATTAACAGCGTTGAGGGTATGTGAGGACCTAGATTCCGGAAATCCCTTAGAGATCTATAGTTTACAAATCTTTGATCAAAACCTAGATTCTGGAAATCCCATTAAAAATCATCTATTTCCAGTGACATGCACACGACATGCACATAATATACTCACATATCTGAGCGAACCCAAAAACCCAGAGCTCGCAGCTCTTTCTTTGAAATTAGAAAAATGACGTCATCACCTGTGATGTCACCACCATATACACTATATGCACATCACATGGATAATACATGCACATAACTGGAGATCGAGCAACTAGCTGTTTTCGCATTAATAAGAAACTTTAACGGCAATCTATTGGTATATTGGATACAATTAAAACATAATTGTCGTGTATATAAGGTTACAATGGCAGTTTGAAAAGTATTGTTATGTATATCAACCATCGGTTAGCCGTGCACGTGGAAAACATGATACTCGTTGTTGTTGGACGTGCATGACCCTTAACATCCTTTAAGCTTTTTCATAATTTTGTTTTTTGCCAAGGCCAACTAGGTTATGGTCATACTCGCTAAATTCTGGGACCCAACATACGTGCATTATAACTAGTGAACATTCCTGTTTCTCATATTAAGTTGTAGCCATGCAGACTATATGCACACCATATGCACATTATGAAAAAGGTTTTACAAATTTCTACAATTGGACACTTGAACCAAAAATTGTTCTATCTTAGTTTTGTAGCACGTCGAAAAGTAAAGTTTATTCCACAACCCATAGGCCCTAACATGAAACACACACCCTAATTTAACTTCAAAGTATTAATTCATCCTATAAACAACCCATTTATTCCCTAAATCATTGATGTAGAAACTTGGAACTACCTTACTATGCCTGCTGAAACTTCAGTTGCTGGAAAAAATGGAACTTTCCGACCAAAACAGAAAATATGGTACAAAACCCAGCTCACTCCTCCCACCTCTCTCTCTCACATCCCTTTGTTCAAAATCAAAGGTATGAGGTCAACCCAAAACCCAACTCACTATTCTCACCTCTCTTTGGACTTCCCTCTCTTTGAAATCTAAGCTCAACCCAAAAATTCAGAGTTTACAAAGCTCTCTCCACATCCCTGTCTTCCAAATGAGAAAAGTGATGCAACGGGCTGATGATATTTAGTATTTATATATGAGTATTTTAGTAATATCGATTTTGTGCATGGTAAGCATGGCTTGTGTATGACTGGTTTTTCCTATTTCTATCCCAAAATTAAGAAAATATCATATTTATGGGTATTTCCCTAAATAATATGCCACTTAGAAATTTTTTTTTTTTTGAAATGTTAATTTTAGAAGGAAAAGTTTTTAAAAATATAACTTTTAACATTAGTCGACGAGCCACTTAGTGCTACGGTTAGTGATATTTCTTTTCATTTGTAAGTGAGAGATCTTAGATTTGATTTTTGCCAAAGGCAAATTTGAACCACATTAAACTTAGCTCACTCCACCATTTTCTTAGTGTAGATAACATCGTTTGTTAAAAAAAAATATATATATATACATACATACATATATATCAAGAGTGAGATGGTTGGCTGAGCAAATGAGAGAGTAATAATTGTTTGATGATATATTAAATGATTTGAAATAATTTATAACAATTAAATATTTTATTAGTTGTTTGGCCATGCGACACAGATTGGCAGTCACGTTACTAGAAATGTAGAACCCATTGTCACCATGTCATCATTTAACGGCTAACTTAATAAATATTTTAACGGTTGTATAAAATTGAAATAAAATAATAACTACATGTATGAGACAATGAAAGATTTAAGATTTTAACATCGAGTTGTCTCAATATAAGCTCAAAAAAAATTAGATGAAAATAACATTGAAAAAGTAAACAATAACCTACAATTTTTCGTTCATAATCTTTATACAAACAACATTACAAGCTACATAGACTAAACCTATCAATTACGAGTTTTCATACTCTAAAAACGTGTCATAATAGTTTCATTGTCAATATAAGAAAAACATATTTCTCAATGTAAATAACTAAGCTATCATTTAACCATTGATCTCTATTTTGTTACAGAGTGGAAATCTATCATTTAACCATTGATCCTCATTTTGTTATAGAGTGGACTCTTAAGTATATTCATGGTTGAAATGCTCCATCCACTGATACAGTTGCAACCAGTAAAACCAAAACCAATTCAATAAGTAAATACACATATTGGTTGAGGTTGGGAATAGGGACAGGCTGATAACCAATTAGAAATTAGTTTTGGTAGGAAATGGATCATCTCCGGATCCCTTCCTCCTAATCCATCAAGTCTGGGGATCCGGGCCATTGAAATTTGATCCAACGGCTACAAACAGGGGTCCATTTTAAAATATAATAACTTTAACCGTTGGATTAAATTTCAATGATTCGGATCTCCGTATTTAATGAATTAGGTAGAAGAGATCCAGAGACGATCATTTCCTGTTTTGGTAAAGTGAGGTAAAGTAAAATGAGGATAGGTTGGACAAAGATAAATTGAAATTTGTGCTTCACCTTACCAAACGAGGCTTTATTTTTTAATTTTAAAATGGTTCGAACTTCAAATTGAAAATGGTGAGCTGCTCGTTAATGCTCTCTCACGTGGATCAAAGCCTCTCACATGTCTATGCTTTAATGTTTTTTAAATGACATGACTTAAAATGACATCATTTTGGACAAGTAATCTTTAAAAAAGAGTCTTTTTCTTTCTCCTTCTGTTTGCAGAACCTGCACTGCAGTCTGCACCCATTCCTGCACTTATCCTCCACCACAGGTCCACAGCGCAGACTTGGGTGGCTCTCAGTGGTCTTCACAGCTACTTATCCAAGCTTCTGAATGGTCTCAGAGCCACTCCAGTCCTTTAATAATCATTTTCTGATGTGAAAATGAAATGTTTTAAAAATATTTCAAAAACAATTGTATAATTGCACCCAAATTTGAAGGGGAAAATATAATTTACCTCTAAAAAAAATGGCCTAATCGGATAAATGGTCCACGTGGTCATAAGGTATTCGGATGATAGCCCCTGTGGTAAAAAAATTCGGATTTAAACCCCTGTGGTCTAAATCTGTTAGGATTTATGCCCTTCTGTTAAATAATGCTGACGTGGCTGCCACATATATGCCACGTGGCTGCCAAATGTCTGCCACGTGGCAAAAATAATAATTTTTAATTTTTTTTAAAAAAAACCTAAATTTTTACAACAAAAAAAAAAAAAAAAAAAACAAGATCTGCAAGAAGAAGAAGGAAAAGGGAGAGGGAGGAGGGTCGCGCGGGGAGAGGGCTCCGGCGAGGGGGGGAGCTGGTCTCCGGCGGGAAGAAGAAGAAGAAGAAGAAGAAGGAAGAGGGAGAGGGAGGAGTCGCGCGGGGAGACCGGCGGGAAGAAGAAGAAGAAGGAAGAAGGAGAGGGAGGAGGGTCGCGCGGGGAGAGGGCTCCGGCGGGAAGAAGAAGAAGTCCGGGGGGGGGAACGGGCGGAAGGCGGGGGGAGCTTCCGGGTTTTTTTTTTTTTTTTTTTTTTTTTTTTTTTTTTTTTTTTTTGTAAAAATTCAGGTTTTTAAAAAAAAAAAAATTATTATTTTTGTCACGTGGCAGACATTTGGCAGAAGAGGGAGAGGGAGGAGTCCGCGCGGGAGACCGGCAGGAAGAAGAAGAAGAAGGAAGAAGGAGAGGGAGGAGGGTCGCGCGGGGAGAGGGCTCCAGCGGGAAGAAGAAGAAGTCTGGGGGGGGGGAACGGGCGGAAGGCGGGGGGAGCTTCTGGGTTTTTTTTTTTTTTTTGTTTTTTTGTAAAAATTCAGGTTTTTTTAAAAAAATTAAAAATTATTATTTTTGTCACGTGGCAGACATTTGGCAGCTACGTGGCATATATGTGGCAGCCACGTCAACATTATTTAACAGAAGGGCATAAATCCTAACAGACTTAGACCACAGGGGTTTAAATCCGATTTTTTTTACCACAGGGGCTATCATCCGAATACCTTATGACTACGGAGACCATTTATCCGATTAGGCCAAAAAAAATTGTTGCATTTTAAGGCCCTCAAAATGTAAATGGGGCCAGGTATATGCAGCCCATTAAGGGAAACAGAACATGGGCCGGGTTTTGCAAAAACAAGGATGAAGCTTTTCTCCCATGTCGAATTCTGGTTGCAATTTCAAAACTTTTTCTCTTTTTCTTCAGAAATAGCCTTCACCATTTGATGTCTGTACAGAAAATTGGAGCAAAAATTGAGGACCTGTAAGTAATTTTTGATTTCTTGGTCTTTTATTTTACAAGCATATTTTGAATTTGCACATTTCAATACTCATCAATCATCATTGTTCATAGAGTTAAAAAAAAATCATCATTGTTCATAAATTGTATATATTTACATGTAATGCCAATCATATTTACATGAGAATTGGAACAAAGTTTCAGGCTGGCAGAGAATTTGAATTTAAAAATAAAAAAAATCCAACATTCTGGGATCCAAAATTTCAATTGAAAAAAGAAAAATTGAGGAAAAAAATGTGTGACAATTATTCTAGGGGTGTGCTATCCACACATTTTTTTTTTTTTACTTCTCACACACCCCTTGTTAATTTCTCGCCGTTGATATTTTTCAATTCATCTAATCCGACGGTCGAAAATTTAAAATGGTGTGTGAGAAGTAAATAGGAGTGTGTAGATATCACACCCCTTATTCTAATGAGGTCACTGGAGCAATGTTATATCTGTAACTCACAGAAACTTGCTATCAATATTTATGCAGTTGTCCCTGTGAAGGAAAAGTAAATCGAAAAATAATTAAAATTCAGTTCTCAATAATTTGTTTCCAAAGGTTGTTTGTCAGTCTATAGTTTATGGTGTCTATACCTGCTTCTTCTGCTTGATTTTCTGATTGTGAAGATGTGCTCGACTGGCTCTTTGAGGTTTCCGAATTCTTGAGCTGTGGATCGCTTATTACTTCCTGCAGAAGATGTGATTTTCTCAAGTATTTTAGTTAAATTTGATGATCATTATAAGAAGTTACAGTTGCTATTGGTTTTTATGGCATTGGAATACTAACTTACGCCTCGTTTGTTGTCTAAGATTGAATCTGATCGGATGATTCGCTTGATTATGTGTATGTTGAACGAAGAAATGGATGTTAACTTCATTGCTTCCAATCTATAAATAAAATGGTAAGATTTGGAGGATACGTTTCGTTCATGCCTAATCCATCGTCTACCTTCAGCTTGGACAAGATTTGGAAGTTCCATCCATTTCTTCCTTCAACATTGATTCCAAGGAGCCGCCCTATCCAATCTAATCCTATACACTTAATTGCAATACCAAGAAACTTTAGGGAAGGTAGGGAGTTTCTATTTAAATTTTTATGGGTAGACTTATGCAACTAAATGCTTCCGAACTTTTCGATTTTCTTGACTTACTTGTTGATCGGCAACATGACTATGATAAGGAGAAGGGCCATCATTGCCTCCTAATATCTTGTGGTTCATCTTTTCGTCAGCAAGTTCTCTCAGTTTATTCAGTTCTGGCAGTATCACAGTGCCAAGATCCGGCCTGTCCTTCCGTCTAAGTTCTGCACATTGGACTGCTAGCTTTGCAAAGCTCAAGGCTTCTTCATATGGCCAATCAGGCACAGATGGGTCCAGCATCTCCGCAAATGTGCCACTTTCAATTGCACATTCGACATGGTGAGCCAACCCCATAGGTGGTCTGTTTGTTACCAATTGAAGAAGCATAATGCCTAAGGAGTATACATCAGATTTTACACCAAGCATACCTGTCTGCTGATACTCAGGATCAATATAGCAGAATGTTCCGGCTGTTGCTGTCATGAGGCACTGCGTCATGTTTTCAGCAACAGCTGGGACAAGTCTGGCCAATCCGACATCACTAATCTTGCTCACATAGTTGTGATCTAGCAAAATGTTGCCTGGCTTGAGGTCACGGTGCACCAAGGGCTCCGGCTTCGTCTGGTGAAGAAAGAGTAGGCCTGTGGCAATCTCAGCTGCAATGCGGAACCTAAGTTGCCAAGACAAAGCTGGAGTGTTCCCTTTTCTTGAGAGACAGTCGTCTAAGCTTCCATTCGCCATGTATTCATAGGCTAGAATGCCGTATTCCGGGCAGGCTCCTAGAAGCAGCACCATGTTGGGATGTCGAATGCAGCTAAGTATGTCGATCTGCATCAAATCATGAAAGAAGAGGTTAGGTATAAATTTTTCGATATCATATCTTTTTACCATATATCTTTGTAGGATGCAATTTAGAGCCAAATGTAAGATAAAAAAGCATGTTGTAATAGAAAAAAACATGTACAAACATGTTTAACTCGTCACAAAAATATTACAATGTCAAATAAGCTAATTTCATTCGGAAATCTTTGTCCTTTGCATGGAGTTCACTTCTTATACTTACCTTTTCCAATGAAATTCTTTTCAGCACAAAACCAAGGTAAAGAAAATTAACGAATCATGATAGCTAAATAAGATTCTCAGTTCCTTACCTCTTTCTGAAACTGTGACCTTCCTTGAGCAGCATCCGGGCGCAAGACCTTGACTGCAACCAGCGTGTGATTAAGATAGCACTTATAGACAGGACCATAACCTCCTTCCCCAACTTTTCGAGATGGCAAAAAGTGTTCTGTTGCTTCTTCAATCTCCTCAATGGAATACCTCCTATACTTGTCATCAGTGTGGGCTAGATTTGACAATAGCTTCCTCATGTCCTCTGCTTCTCTAAGAGCCTTACTTTCTGTGTTTACCCGTTTATTTGACTCAAATTCTGCAATTCTTTTAGCTGCATCAGCTGCTTCCATGGCTGCCTTGCACCTAGCTTTTTCTTTCTCTGCAACTGCCAGCTGCTTCTTGACCCAGTCGTGCCTCCTCTAGTTTTTGTTCCTCTTCAACCCTCCAGCTGTGCAACTTCATTTCCTGTCGTGGACATAAATTTAAATGGAATCTTGAAAAGATTGCAGAAAGCAAATCTGACTTGCACTCACTTTCTGTTTAGCTGTAATTGCTTCTCTGCATGCCGTACTGTACATGTCCATTGTTTGCTTCAGCTCTAGCTTTAGCCTCCTCATCTCCGATTCTACTTCATCCTACGTCAGTTTAATAAATGCAGTGCAAAAATCATCTAGAAAATGTGAGAGGAAGGATATTTGAACAAAAATGTTGAGAAAGTGATGATGGTGGAAACAATCATCATATAAGATGTAAAAGGTTTGAGATTTTCGGTTGCTTACCAGGTTCTGTGATGACCATGATGATGATGTTCGGCTGCTTTCATGTGAAACTGATGAGAGATCTTGCTGAAAATTGAGTTCCGCAAACTTAGGTCCTAGGCGCATTGATCCAAAGCTTTGGTCTGAGCTGGTAGATAGCCGCCCTCGGTCCATATAGTCATACATCACAGATGACGCTCGGTCAGTGCTCGCCCTGTCAGAGCTTATAAATGATATGTCACTTTCCGATTCTGAGAACCCTCCACCAATCATTCCATTACTAAAACCTCCTCCTCTTGCATATGCGTATCTGTTTCCAATCAAGATGGTGATCAGTTTTCTCAGTAAATTGGCATCAATACTCACTACGCATAACAACATAGTACAAAGAGATTGTCTGCTCATCACATCATATTGTATCTCAAAAAATGGTTTAGCATGCTGCGGCTTACCTGGCTGCTTCATCTTGCAGGTTGCGAGGCTTGAACGATGGTCTGGCTGCTGGATGTAAAGGATCAAAATAATAATTTTAGTACTCAACCAAACTTGGTTTTCAAGAAAGCTTAATAACCAAGAGAAACAAACCTTTCAAGTACATATTTTGTTTAGGTGTTTCAGCTGCTTTAGCACTTTGCTGATTTAATGCCTCTATTTGGGCAAGTAGCGGAGAACTGTGAGGTGCTGGACGAGAAGCATGTCGCTCTGAATTGATTTTCCCTTTGGAGATGACATATATGGTGCAGAAATCAGGTGCCCCTTTTGATACACTGCTTGGAATACTTGATGACTTGAATCTGAATGAGTAAATCATCGATTTTTAAGCCCACTGAATGAGTCTACACAAGCTATAGCATGGATAAACGTGTCTGTATATATTGGGTTTACACGTACCATTAAAATGTGTCATATTGCCTAGTGAATTCCATTATGAAATTGCCAATTCTGTGCTTATATGAGAGTGCAAAATACGTTAACCATGACAGTTTGAAAACAATCAACGTGTTCCTGCTCGAATCAGCATCATGCTAATATTTTACGGAATATTGAGTAACAATATTTTCATCGATAAATAGTGTGATTCTTCCCTCGTGGATAATGCTTTTTCTTGTTGTAGCATTTTGTTTCATTGCCATTCTTTGCATGATCTTGGTGGAAATGTTAAGAAAATGTTAATAAAAGTAAATCATAAGACAGGGCAATTACCTATAAATCCATGCTTTGATGGAGCTCCCAGAACCAAAGTCTCAATTGCAGCATAGGAAGCATACTCTGTTAGTGCTTTTGGTATATCTGAGTCTTCAAGTATGATATCAAGGCAGTTTATCTGAAAAAACAAATCAGTCAAAAGTAACAAAGATACAGTTATATGAAACTATGAATCGTAAGAAATGCGATGATAATTCCTTCTTCCCAAAAGGGTACATTTATTTGATTTTTAAATGATGTTATGTACTATTTAAGACAAGTTTTTGTAAGACATGCTTTGATATGCATTCACTACAATATATGATAATGCATAAGAAATTTTAGGGTTGTAATCCAAAAAATTTAATAAAGCATTTAATGCAGGTTGGTCATGGAAAAAGCTTTCGAAGGAAGAGCTCCGAAACCTACATCCTTACGAGTACAATAGCAATGGAAGGTAACGAACAGATCCTTGGCCATCTTTTCGAGTTGCTGTTTGCGCGGGGATTGAGACGGATTGTTTATATTGCATACAACAGCATTGTTTCCAGCCACTGCACCCATAAAAAAAAAAAAAAAAAAAAAAAAAGCTGTATCATTGCCTGCCATTGAAAAGTAATTTTTTAGCTAGCTATAGAGAGAGAGAGAGAGAGAGAGATTACAGGGGCAAACTGATGATGTCTTCTGAACATGTAGTAGAATGACAGTTTGGCCCCTGGTGAGAACATGTTCAGCAGCCCATCTGAGTGCATTTTGGCTCCCTTTCTGATTGTCTATGGCAACTGCCACCAATCCATTTCCTCCTGCTTCCTTCTTTGCTCCATTTGCTTTTTTCGCATTCCACATTTTCTCCAAATCCTCTTAACTATGAAAAATAGAATGTTTCTAGGTCCGAGAATACTAGAATGATACAGAAAAAATTAGCATGACCTCTAAGCAAAGATGACATGCATAAATCAAGAAGGTTTATAGGACACAAACAAATCAGGTAGAAACTCTTCCATGATGCGTAAAAACTAACCTAGAGATCTTTGAGGCCTAAAACCTTTTGTTCCTAATTAAACAAATATAAACATAAAAATAAATGGAAAAACTACTTTAAAATTTAGGGTTTACAAGAACTTATGAGGCACAATAGGCACAGGAGTTTTCACATTTCTTTGGTCTTCTTTTTCTGTTCAGAAGCTGGCCGTTTTTCTATTTCGGGTTTTCAAATAGAAGCCTCACAATTCAGATAAAAATGAAAAAAAAGCAAAGTATGTGGAAGCCTCACGATTGAGAGAGTTGCTGCCAAAACTAGAAGATCAAAGCATAGGCCATGGATAAATCCCCCTCTCACAAAATACTATTTTTATGTTATGATACATCTAGGGTACGGACTTAAATTTTGGATTTTTTTTTTTTAAGCTAACTACTTTAAAGATCTCGATTATTTCTCTCCTTATGTATCCTATTTGGTTAAACTTGAAGTAGTAACAATCTTTTTTTCCAAAGAGTAGTTTCTATCTTTCACTTATAAGTTATCTTCACAAAGAGTTTTTTTTGGTCAAACAGTAAAGGGTAATTCATGCAGTAAGATTGCTCTTTATCTAGACCCGACAGTTTCTTACACGACATGGTGACATGACACGAAAATGACAAGAAAATGACGGGTTTCGGGTCAACACAATAACTAATCGGGTCATTATCGGGTGACCCGTTAATAACGGGTATACACGTGGGTAATCCGTTTCGACCCGTTAAGAAAACTAAATTATAATTTTAAAGTTTAATTACTAAAAAAATTATTATAAAATACAATAGCCATATTGTATATATTGGTATATTCTATATTAAATATATATTTTTGTATTATAATTCTATATAAGTTAAAAAAATTAAGTCTTATTCATTTATTTATTTTTATTATGAGAATTTCTTATTATCATTAATAGGATCAATTTTACTTAACATGTTGTTGTCTAAAATTAAAATCAACTAGTATAGTATTAGTATAGGCAATAAGACATCCCTACAAATATGAAAAATGTGAAAGAATATATAAACACTCGTGATTCATCATTCCTCCATGAGTAGACAATGGTTACACTTACATTATCGTTTAGATTTTTAAAACCCTCCAAACCGTCATGAATGGTGTTTTTTATTTGAGTGTAAAAGTAATAAAATTAATAATAATTATTGTAGAAGTGTAAGAAATGTAAAATATATATATATATATATATATATACAATCACTCGTAGTGACAAGCTTTACAATTTTCGTGAAGGCGTCAGCTTCGAAATCCGACACTATAATCCATAAACCTTAAATATATATTTAACCGTCGATTGTCATTTAGGCTTTATTCTTTATATTGAATTTCATTTTAAAATTTTCTTTTTTGAAAACATGATCTTATGGGGGATGTAGGAAGATGAACGGTTCGGATCTTTGATATCACGTCCCAATATTTACGGTTAATTGAAATATGAGTCGATATCATATAGTTTGTAGAGACTTTATAAACACCAAGCAATATTTTTACTAACGGTAAAACTCTGAACATAATATCAACTATCCGAACCATTCATCTTCCTGTATCCTCTAATAGATCATGTTTTCAAAAAACAAAATCTAAAAAAAAAAACAAAATTTGGTGAGAAAAATGAAGCATAAATGTAAACAACAATCGACGGTTAAATTTTGATCCATGATTTATTTGATTATAGTGGCACATTTCAAAGTTAAGCCCTAGTTGTAAAGCTTGTCATTATGAGCGTTTATATATATATTTTTTCTATATTTTTCACACTTCTACATTAATTAAAAAAAAACTATTAAAGACTTTACTTAAACAATAGCCATAGGATAAATGAGAAGAGAGTGCTAATGTAGAAAGTCTCACTGAAAATATCATCAATATAACTCTTGAAGACAATAAATCAAGCCAAAGTTCCAATACCGTTTCCCATGGTGATTGATGAAAATTGAAGAGTTTGATTGTAAGAAAATGTGCAAGGTTCCAAACATTGAAACATAGCTCCCTTAATTATGCAAATCTTTTGAACATTTGATATTTTGTAATGTTCTAATGTTTTTTTTTAAATTATGCTCTTATTTTGGGTATGTAAATATGTAATACTTGAAAGACAAATGCGTTTTTATGTTTTGAATGTGATAATATAGTATGTATATACTTATTTAGTATTATGTTTTTCATTTGATGGTTCAAAATATATTTTCCTTAACAGATTACGGGTTGGGTCATATTACCTGTTAATATTATCGGGTAGATTTCGGGTCGGGTCATTTTACCCGTTTATTTTAAGGGGTGTTACACAACACGACCCTTTAAGATATCGGGTATAACATGAAAACGACACGAACACGGGAAACACGACACGAATGCCAGGTCTATCTTTACCATGAGTAATTTTACCGATTTGAATATTATTGAAACAAACCAATATTTATTGAAATATAAGTCAATAGAATTGTTGAATCACAAAACAAATCACACTACTTCTAATTGAATCTAAACCTTGCATAAAACTCCACATCTATTGGTTGCACAAGTAATTAAGTGAGGACAATATTGATGCGATTAGTGTAGTATAATATCAGCATGTAGTATGTACTACTAATGTAGACATTTCCTATTTTGACACTTTGGTTTCAACCTTCTTGCCCACGCGTGTGAAAGATATGTTTTTTTAATCATGACGTTCTTGATGGAGTTAGAAATTTAAAACGATGGGATCATAAAATTGAAGCTTCCAAAAAATGATCATACTTTGCATAGAATTCCCAATTTATAATTTTTTTTCCTGCTAAAAATTCATTCCCAATCAATCAATCAATCAATACAAAACCCTAAAACTTCCCAATAAGCCCAAGATGAGAAAAATATTGATATGATTAAGATTTCGTGATATAATCAAGTGCGATGAAGGTAGGTTGATCGAACTTAAACACCGAAGAAGCTTTGAATTGAGAGATATGAAGGCTGGGTGGAGAAGGCATTTGCGTATTTGATAAGTCTTGAGCTTGTTTGAGAATTAGCATGAAATTTCAAAGAGGGTATTTTATATGCTAGTGGGGTCAACAGTAGCCAATGCCCCAGATTGGCTCCACCATATACCTCTTCTTTCGGATAGTAGAATATGAAGTTCTTTGGATTCCTCCTTATGGTCTCGTACTCCCTAAATAAGAGTCACAAACCATTATGTAATGCTTTGAAAATTTTAAAATGCGCTTGTTAAGTTTCTAGAATGGATAATCACCAAACTTTATACAAAGTGAAACGAAACTAATCGAAAATAATAATAATAAAGATTGAAAACCGAATAAGTTGCTGTAAATTATAAAACAATATTGAATTTTTTTTTTGTTTTGATTTTGGTAAGGGTCTGCCCTGGTGCGAATTTCCCAAATAAGGCAGTAGAAACATGAAGTGGCCGTGTGAAATGTGAGGTTCGATGAGTTCAATCACAAAGAGTCCCTCCTTTTGTGTAGAGGGTCGCACGACTAATGTGCAGGTATCTAGACCCAAGAATTACTCCTTAATAGAAGCTCAACTTACTTATAGAATTAATGCACTTTTTGCACTAAAACGATACATTGTGGAAGTTTTATAAATACATTTAGGGGTACAAGTTGGATTGAAAGTTTTTGTTTTGACTGACTTTGATAAAATAATTTCCAACTTTTGGCTGATCCTAATTCGCCCTCTATATTTTGAAAATTTCAAAATTTTTGGCATACTGGAATGTATCTTCCGAAAGTTATATAAATTTCTAGAACGCATTTGATTTTTAAGTTTGAACTACCTGAGATGATTGATTTCATGTTGAAATTATATTATTTCAAAAGTGAAAATCTACTACAAGTGGTCCTTTATCACAATAGTGGAAAAGTGTTGAGCCATTGCATGATGGCGTGGGTTCGAATCCTGTCGGTGATTAATCTAACTCAGAAACCTTATCCCCCCACGAGCCACGCAGATGCACCTCCCTCCCCCTCCTCTCTTCCCCTTCTCCTCCTCTCTTCTCCCCCATCTTCATCTTCTTCCCCCGACCCCCTACCTTCAACCCAGAAAAAAAAAAAAAACCCAAATCCTATCTACGCTGCCATCTCCAGGTTCGTGAGGTGAAAATGAGAGGAAATGGGTGTGGATTTAAGGAGTGGGATGTGTAGAGGAGAGAAGAGGGTGGGTGCCGGGGGGGGGGGGAGGGGGTGGGGGTGAAGAGGAGAAATGGCTCGTGGAAGGTGGGGGTGGGGTGGGATGGGGTGGGTTTTTGGATGGGAAGGGAGCTGAAGAGAGTGGAGGAGAGGGAGGTGGTCGGGAGGCTTGGGAGGGAGAAGAGGGGTGGGGAGAGGTTGCGGGGGTGGGTTCTGCGTTTTCTAAGTTTTTATTTTTATTTTTTTATTTTTTATTTTTTTTATAGAAGATTCAGGTTTTTTCTTTTTAAATTAAATTTTTTTTTTTGCCATGTGGCAACCACGTCAGCGTTTAACGGATCAATAGATGGAAAATGTAACTGAGGTATTATTTTGAAATAAAATAGTATGTGAGGTATGAAAGTGAAATGTTTTAAAGATGTTGTATAAGGTTGTAATAGACCTCAAACCTAATGAGGTATTATGTAATTTACCCTAGTTTTTTTAGGTTTCAAATTGTTTGTCATATTAAAGATTCCAAGTTATTATTGAAAGAAATTTGAGATATATAGTTTAGAAATATTTCAAAATTTTGAAAATGGATGTTGAAATTCCATTTTTTTGCAGAATGAAAATTGAAAGACATTTCTCATACAAACATTTTTTAA